CCTGTGGTGCTATGCGGTTTCGTGCGGTGCGGTGAGGCGCGGGTGGGATGGGGTGTGGTGCGGTGTCGTGCGGTGTGGTGCGGTGTGGTGTGGTGCATACCTGCAGGCTCAAGGGGCAGATGATGGAGGAGGTGCCGCGCATATTTGAGGCGGTGTTTGAGTGCACATTGGACATGATAACCAAGAACTTCGAGGACTACCCCGAGCACCGCCTCAAGTTCTTCTCGCTGCTGCGCGCCATTGCCTGCCACTGCTTCCGCTCCCTCTTCACACTCTCGCCCCAGGTCCGCCCGTGCACCATGCACCGTGCACCATGCATGCACCGTGCACCATGCAACATGCACCATGCAACATGCACCATGCAACATGCACCATGCAACATGCACCATGCAACATGCACCATGCAACATGCACCATGCAACATGCACCATGCAACATGCACCATGCAACATGCACCATGCAACATGCACCATGCAACATGCACCATGCAACATGCACCATGCAACATGCACCATGCAACATGCACCATGCAACATGCACCATGCAACATGCACCATGCAACATGCACCATGCAACATGCACCATGCAACATGCACCATGCAACATGCACCATGCAACATGCACCACCTCCTTCTGTAGTTTTCCTTCCATACTCGATTCGTTCTACGTTCTCTTCCGTCTCGTTCCTTCCTTCCCTCCAACTCGTTCCTCGGTTCCCTCCTTGTTCTGTACCTGCAGCAATTGAAGCTGGTGATGGACAGCATAGTGTGGGCGTTCCGCCACACGGAGCGCAACATCGCAGAGACAGGCCTCAACCTGCTGCTCGAAATGCTCTCCAACTTCCAGGTCCGTGCCTGTGTGTGCCGCCCTATGCCCATGCATCCTGGGCGGTGCGGTTCCATGCCTTGTTGTTCAGGTCAGCATCCCCGGCACCTCATACCTTGGTGCAAGAAATTTTCCACAGTGCATTTCCGCTGTTTCTCTGTCCCGCCTCGTTTTTTAAACTGCCTTCCGCCCCTGTGCCCCTGTGCCCGTGTGCGCATGTGCCCCTGTGCCCTTATTTTCCGTGTGCCCCTGTGCAACAGAACTCGGAGTTCTGCAACCAGTTCCACCAGACGTACTTCCTGACCATAGAGCAGGAGATCTTCGCCGTGCTCACAGACACCTTCCACAAGCCCGGCTTCAAGCTGCACACGCTCATCCTGCAACACCTCTTCTGCCTCGTGAGTGTCTGTCTGACTGCCTCGCCTACTCACCTACGCATTCTTCTGCCTCATCCTTCACCAATCCAGTGCTCTGTCCCTTCCCTTATCCAAGCCTGCTCCAGTCAGCTCAGATACCCCTAGAAAGCTCACTTCCCTTTTTCCCTGTACCCACCCACCATCCATCCACTCCCCCAGGCGGACTCAGGGGTGCTGACCCAGCCGCTGTGGGATGTGGCCACCCTCGGCCCCACAGCCTTCCCATCCAACGCGGCGTTTGTGTGTGACTATACCGTCAAGCTGCTGTCCACGTCCTTTCCCAACATGACGCCGCAGGAGGTGCGTGCCACTCGCCCGTTGTTCAGGCGCCTCAGAGGTACATGCGTGTCAGTGTCAGCTTCTCATCCCATGTGCCTTTGCCATGCCTCGCATGGTTAGTCCATACCTTCCTTTGCATACCTTGGGCAGCATGCAGCTGTAGTGTTCCCTTGCCTCCTTCCCCTTGCTCCCTTACTATACCTGGTGTTCCCTACACCCCCGCTCCCTTGCTCCTCCCCTCTACCTCGCCTTCTGCTCCTGTCTGTTTCACGTTGTTGCTGTTTCACCTTTCTTCTCTGTTCTTTCTTCCTCTTTGTGTACTTGTCGGCACGCGGCCTGTGTGTGGTGCGTGGGGCGGCGTGGGGAAGCAGATCACCCAGTTCGTGAGTGGGCTGATGACAGCCAAGGCGGACACGGCCACGTTCAAGAACCACCTGCGCGACTTCCTCGTGCAGTCCAAGGAGTTTTCAGACAAGGTGTGGGTCTGATAATAATAAGGCTATACAGGCTCCGTGTGGGTTGGATCAGCAGCTCTGTATGGGTTCATTTCCACTGTCTCAGCTGCTAAGCCTGCTAGTGTGGCTCGGGGATTCAGCGTCCAACTGACCCTCTTTCACTCTACTTCCCTCTTTTTGCTTCCCCCCGTCCGTCTTCTCCTTTCCCTCCCACCCTCGCGCTTCTCCTTTCTCTTCATCCCGTGGTCACCGTGTGCAGGACAACAAGGAGCTGTATGCGGAGGAGGCAGCGGCGCAGAGGGAGGCGGAGCGGCAGCGCATGCTGTCCATCCCGGGGCTCATAGCGCCCAACGAGCTGCAGGAGGACATGACTGACGCCTGATGCCGCTGTGCTGTTGATGCCGTGCTGTCGTGCTGACGTGCTGTGATGGAAAGAGAGAGAAAAGGGGAGATGGAGGGTGAGGGGTTTGTAAAATGAGGGTGGGCAACGGGGAAATTGGGGGGAGGTGGGGAGGAGGGATAAGGGTGGTTTGAGGGTAGTGGTGGATGGCTTATGCCCTTGTACTGGAACACCGATTGTACTGTTTGGGTGCTGCTGCTGCCGCCGCTTCTGCTGCTGCTGCTGCTGATGCTTCTGCTGGTACTGGTGCTGCTGGTGGTGCCGCCGCTGCTGGTGCTGCTGCTGCTGGTTCCTGCATTTGTGCCCATGGACCGCCTACAGGTTGAGCTTTCAATATGGGTTGCAGCAGCTGGCAGGCACCCTGCAGGCATCTGCTGAACCCCTTGCTCCTATTCTTCCTGCTCCCCCTCCTGCCTGCGGATCGCAGCGTGCCTGCCTGCGTATCCGTCTCGCTTATCTGTTCCCCTGCTCCCTGTCTTCTCCTACCCTTCCTTCCGCCTCTCTCTCTCTCTCTCTCTCTCTCTCTCTCTCTCTCTCTCTCTCTCTCCCTCCCTCTCTCTCTCTCTCTCTCTCTCTCTCTCTCTCTCTCTCTCTCTCTCTCTCTCTCTCTCTCTCTCTCTCTCTCTCTCTCTCTCTCTCTCTCTCTCTCTCTCTCTTCTTTTCTCACCTCTCAACGCGTGCCTGCGAGTGCGCACTGTTCCCTCGCTTCTTCTGACTCTCTCGGTTCCTGGTGTGAATGTGTGCGAAGCGCGTAGCATAGCAATGCAGGGGTTTGATAGCTGCAGCGGTGTGTTGACTGTCTGTGAGCTGTTTTCAGCTCTGCAAGCTGAAGGTCCTGAGCAGCATTTGGAGTCCTTCCGGGATGCTGTTGCTCTCGTCGGGGAGGTACAGGGTTCACCTAGACGTTTACGCATTCCCTCCCCTCCAGCTCGTGATGCAGCTTAGTTGTCTCTCACCTGACCTGACTCTCTTCTCTCTGTGTGCGCACATGTGCGATGCACGCTCATGAGAAGAGGTGTGTCGTTTAGCAGACAGCAGAGATGCCATAGGAGTTTGTGGAAGGGTGGTGGTGGTAGTCGCGGGAAGTCGGTCTCTGCTGTCGGTCTACATGGTAGGGTAGGGTGAGCTGAGCTGCTGAAGCTAATGGTTGAGCAATAGCTGAGAGGGTCTTCTAGCTGCTTACATGTTTAACTACTGTTGATGCTGCTCGCATCTTACTACTATAGTATACGTTACACTTACTTTCGGAATTGTGCACGTTACTAGTTGATATCCCATGGTGATGAGCCTTAGCTTTTTCATTACATGATTTGAATCATATAAGTGCTCATGCTACTGATAGCGTGAGAGCGTAAGACATTGTAATGCGGACGGTCGGTTAAACATTGCACATGAACAAAGCCCATGACGAGGCCCATGTTCGGTGCTCGCCACTGTATCAACTTTTCCCGCCAACCCAGCTCATCACAATCAGCCTTCCCACGTTTCCGCTGTTGCAAGTGCATGATTTTTTCGTAGGCGAGGAGTCGGCGAAAGCTTGTGTTACCAGTTGGACGATGCGCGTATGTGGAGAGGGGGTTTCTAGAACCGAAGGCTCAGCGTGCAGAACGTCTTGTATCCTCTTTAACCCTTGAATATCTGGGGTGACACAAGCACGCATCTACAGCATACCACTCAGTTGCGGTGCTGTGCTTCATCTTGTTAGCCACATCAGTGATTTTTATTTCTTTCCTGGGCCTCAGGTCCCTCACGAAAATGACGTTGCTTCTGAAAAGGGCATGCGTCCACTCAAACGTTTACAGGAGCAGTTAGTTGGAGACATTTTCAGGGCCAGACCTGGTGGGGAAGTTCTGAAGCTGAAAATGTGGATAATCGCGAGGCTGTAGTTGGTGGTTCATGTCGCTGCCTTCCTTGGACTCGACTTCCTGTATTTCGACGTTGTAACAGCAAGGCTGTAGACTCCGCCGTACTTACCTAACTGATACTTTACGCTGGTGCGCTGTCTATTCGGAGTAAAGTCAAACTTCCACCAGCATCGCCTGGTCAAGCGAAGCACTTGTTTCGTGGTAACGATAAGAGTACATACATAGATAGTTTTTCGAGCAAAGGCACCGCGTCTATCGCGCGGGCGTAGGAGATAAGGAGCGTTTTTTGTGCTAACTTGATTACAAGGACCAGGGTACATTATTCCCATGACGTCTACAAGGACAGTCCAGAATCGCTCCGTAGTGTCGCCTGCCTTATGAGACCCATTACCTAGTTGGCACATAAGCGTTAGAAACCATTTAAATGCGAGAGTAACCATTCTTCAATGAGCGAGTAACCCTTAGATGCTCGAGCCGTGTACCCTCTCACAGCGCGCCGAGCCATTGCGGGATCAGGACTTGCCGTTGAGACACCATCACCGTGGATGCGTCAAGTGGCGGGCCCTCCCTCGCGGGGGCCCTGCCCGCTGCCTTGGGAACGGCCGCGCTGGTCCCACCTCTCGTTACTGTCACATCCGCTTCACCCGGCGACGCTGCAACGGACGTGTCAGGTGCTTCGAAGCTGAATCAACACCAGCAACAGGAGCAACAGCAGCAGCAGCAGGAGCAGCAGCGACGAGGAGGAGGAGAGCATTCAGATATGATCGACAATGCCGTGTTGTTACCCGACAGCCAGGAGGCAGACCTATTGCAACCCAACGACGCGTGTGGTGGTCATGTAGTAACGTCGTCACCCCTGCGCTCCGCAGGGCCGGCGCGCGCGTGTCCGGTGAACGGGATCGCGCTCGGTGCGGCGGGGGAAGAAGCGGAGAGTGCGCTGGGAGTGGTAGGGGGAGAAGCGGAGATCGCGCGTGGCGGAGGGGACGGCGATGGGGTTGAGTATATGGGGGAGAAAGCGCGGGCGGCGGAAGCGACGGGGGACGGAAGCACATTTGCATCAATTGGTGGGGGAGGGGATCCGCAGGGCGGGAAGAATGGAGGCGGAGAGGGAGGGGAAGGACACGCGGATGGGAAGGGGAATGCTGTCGGAAATTTAGAGGGCACAGTGGACGAGCGGAGAGGGACTCCCGCGGAAGAGGCACTGGGGGAAGGGAGCAGGGCGGAGGGGGGACAGCCGGTCGGGGGGCAGACGGAAGAGGGGGAAGGGTCATGCAATGCAGAGCAACGAGCGGTGGCGGAGGGGGAATCGGGAGCGCTTATACAAGGGGAAGGGATTGGAGACGGAGAGAAGGAGGAGGCGGGGGCGAGAGAGAGTGGAGAAGCGGAGGGATTGTTGGTAGGTGGAGTCACGAAGGAAGCGTGCGAGAATGGCGAGAGGGGCGAGAGGAAGGTGCGGTGGTTGGATGACGAGGGCCAGACGTTGACCGACGTTCGAGAATTCGAACCCAGGTGGGTGCTTTTTGCGTTTGCATTGCCTGTCCCTCGTGTGCTTTGCTTCGCATGGTGCTGGTGCTGACAACCTGATGAGTCGCCTAGCAGTCCAGGTGGGTTCTTCGTGCTGGTGCTACGCATACTGAGCCATTTCTGAGCTGTTGCTTTTCTGGCTGGTTTATTGCAGTCTGGCTCACTGAGTGGAACAGGGTAGGCAAGTGATTCTTAACTATTGCATGACTGGTGCTTTTGAAGGTTCAAAATCCTCATTCAAGCCATGTATGGATGCTTCGCGTTGTGGCATGGGATGCGATGGCATGGATGGTATGGGATGTGATGATGGGATGGCATGGATGGCATGGATGGCATGGATGGTATGGGATGGCATGGCGTGAAATTGTGTACAATGGTTTTTGTTTGGGTTCGCTGTTGCAGTGAGTCGAGCAGTGATGATGACGATGAGCATTACAAGGAGAGCAGCCATAAGTGCAGCTGCACCATCCTATAGCCCCCTTACTCCGCCTCTTGAACGAGATGCTTCAAGAGCCGCATGCCTCCCAGGAATACCCGCCCGAGCGTTCCTCCTTTTCTCCCTTCCCTCTCTCCTCCCTCCCCCCTCCTCCCCCCCCCCCCCTCCTCCTCCTCCTCCTCCTCCTCCTCCTCCTCCTCCTCCTCCTCCTCCTCCTCCTCCTCCTCCTCCTCCTCCTCCTCCCCCTCCTCCTCTTCCTCCTCTCTCTCTCTCTCTCTCTCTCTCTCTCTCTCTCTCTCTCTCTCTCTCCCTCTCTCCCCCCCTCTTTCTCCCTTTCTCCCTCCCTTCCCTCCCTAACCCTAATCATCTTTCCTCATACCTCCTTCCATCTCTCTTCTTTGCTCTCTCTTTCACGTACATTTGCGCTCCAAACCCGCCTCTTATCAAAGCCTTCAATGCCCCACCCTCTAACCATCACGACACTTGGTTGAATCGACTTTCACCAGCCAAGTCACAGTCATTCATCGCTCGTATACCACCAGCCAACCATGTGTCCACCCATTGGTTGGCTGGTAGTAATACCGTAGTATCATCATCTTGCCATTGCATTGGCCTGCCCATGCAGGCTCAATAAGGATTGATGCAGTTTGTGGTTTTGAGTAGTGCATATGTTTTTAGCTAAGTTCGTGACCTACCGTAGGTCTTTGTGTGCAGTGCTTGCATTGGGCACTGGTTGTTCCTGCGTTAGTTGCTTACTTTTAGGAGGTGAAATTGCAGTAGTTAGGTAGCATCTGCATTATTTTTTTGCTACCTTCCCCCTTAGTTTACTTTACTTTCATATACATTTTGAAACTACATTGTTTGTAGGTCGTTCGCGAACATTGATCCTCGCTTCTCAGCTCTAGCGCAGCTTACGTGGCCTGGTCACCAGCAGGAACATCAGACAGCTCAGCCGCTGTTCCATGTGATCGTCAATAATGCACAGCGCCTCAGCTCGCTTTTGGGATTCCATTTCAGACCTTCTGCTGAGGCGCAAGTCTCTCGATGAGGCAAGTAGGTCTCACTGAACTGCTGTAGTGGGGAGGAGCTACTAGGGTGTGGTGCTTTTGGCACAAGTCCCTAAGTTTGTTTTTTTCAATCGATTTTCACCTTTTTTTTAAGTTCGATTGTGAGGTCGAGAAGTTGATTTTGTGAAATTCGAGTCGCGGGGCCGATTTCTGCTAAGTCAAAAGGTGACCATCGAGGATCGAAAACGAGATTCGACCTTCTCCGAGTCGCGATGACAAATGTAGGTTACCCGATGTAGTCTACGCGGCTCTGGCGTAGTCGTCGAAATACTCATCGTCGATGTCGTCACGATTCGTCTAGTTCGTGAAGCTGCCGAATATACGCAGAAATGACCACGTTCGAAACCACGCTTCGAATCCAAGTTCGAACCTGGTTCGACTGACTGTATGGTTACATGACTTACCAGGTCAATATTCGAACGCAGACCTGGTTCCATGCGAAGACTATTGCGACATTCACGAAGCCAGTAGCCAGTTCAAGCTCGACCAGATTTCTGAACTTTGAATCAAAAGCACCACGCCCTTACAGCAGTAGCTCCGCAATGAACCCGAAGTAGCTCCTCCCCACCACTGCGGGTTCATTTCAGAGCTTCTGCTGCGCTTATCTCGTTGAATCTATTTTGAGCGCGCTTCTATCAATACCTGCCAGTTAGAACCACCGTCGTGATAAACCTTCCGAGATGGAAACAGCCACTACTATCGACAGCCTTTCTGATGACCTTCTCATTAGGATCCTCTGGCATTCTCAACCTGCTCCCGGAAAATCCGTGGACAAATTGTGGAGCTCGATAGCCCCCGATCTCAAGTGTATCCAACCACCGGGTGCTTATGAATTAGTTACTGAAAAGCACGAGACACCCATTCCCACCCCGGGTCGCTCAGCGGACGTCGCTTTAAGCCTCTTCAATGCGTCTATCTGCCGTCGCTGGCGTAACCTTGCAAAAGCACACGTCTCAACGCTTGTATTTAGGGAAAACTGCACGGTTTCCAAGGAAGACGTTGCTGTCGTCGTCTCTCGTTTTCCGAACCTGACGCATCTGCACCTGAATGACGGCAGCGTGGACAGACTGGATGACGATTTTCTTTCTCACCTAGCCTCATCGTGCCCTAATCTGACCACTCTCCACGTAGGATGGGGAATTTTAAGATCGCGCGATCGCAGAAAGTTTGAGCACCGAATAACGCCAGAGGGGCTGGATTTACTCTTTAAGAAGTGCACGGGGCTGCAGCAGCTGTCTATCTTCCTTTCTCTCAATGATGGAGATCTACCCGCTTCGTTCTTCCAGCTTTGGAGAATCCGAGTTTCAGAAACTTCTCCTCTCTCACTACCCTCTACGTTGGCTTCCCGTTTCATCAGCAGCACCTTACTACCCTCGCTCACCTCCCTGACCTTTCCCATCTTTCCTTCCTTTCTTCATGCCAAATCAGTCAAGACTCATCTCTTTCAAGCATGGTGACTTCCCTTCAGTCACTGAAATTCTTCGAACCATGTCCTCGGTTCGACTCTATCATCTCACCGACATCGCCATGCACCCGCTTAAAAGTCCTGTTGATTTCAGATTGCAACTTGCTCCTTCGCCTGCCAGACCACCTGGGAGAGCTGCTACCATGCCTGCGCAGGCTCGTCATGAAATCCTGCAACTTGCTGGAGCTGCCTGATAACTTCACCTCTCTCACCCGCTTGGAAATCTTCGTCCTTTATGATTGTCACCCAATTAGGAGCCTGCCCAGAAACTTTGGCAAATTGACGGCCTTAAAAATGTTGTCATTAGTTGGGTTGGACATCCTAACCCTCCCCGATTCAGTATATAATCTCACCTCACTGCAGGCCCTCTTCTTAGACCATGATAGTTTCCAACTGCCACGAAGATTTGGAGAGCTTGCTAGCCTCCAGCTGCTCTATTTGGAGGGCAGCTACGATTTCCCGCCCTCGTTTACACGATTAACTTCTTTGACAGAGCTTCATCTCACCAAGTGTGATATCTCTGAACTCGAAGGTATGCAAAGGCTGCAGAACTTTAAAAATATGTGGTGTGTGATTGCGACACTAATGAGACTCTTCCAAAGTATTGGCAAGTCTCACTCTGTCTTGAATTCCTCCGTTTTTATATCTATTCCTAAATTACAATCCGTGTTTATCGACGACTATAAACCGGCTATTTTCCTTTCCTCAATATCAGGGGGATTGGAGAGCTTAGGAAGGCTGAAGGAGCTGGAGCTGACTCGATGTGACACTTTCAGGGACATCCCATTGTCCCTGCCACGTTCGCTTGAGGTCCTGCAAGTGGAGAATGATCTCGACACGACTTACCTTACTGACTTGTCACAGCTGCCAAATCTGACGGATCTGACGTTGGACCTGCCTGATCTGGAGCATGGAGTGGAAATGAGCAGGGGTTTGACCCAGCTGCGGCACTTGACCCTGCGTTTGCCAGGCACGGATACGGAGCTTCCCTTACCGCTCACATTCCCACAGCTCCGATCGCTCACAATCTGCGCAGCTGGATTGGAGAAGCTGCCAGAAGACATTGCGACAACGTTACCGCAGCTGCGGGAGCTGAATGTGGAGTGGACCGAGTCGCTGGACACAATGCTGGGCATGAGTGAGCTGCGGAGCCTCACATCCTTGGAGACAGCTGCTGATGGCGCCGATATAAGCTTTGTGCCTGTGAAAATCAGCTCCTTGCCTCAACTGCGGAAGCTGTGCGTGTATGGCAGACGCTCAAGCATACGTCTACCTGTTGAGCTATTGGATGACTGATTTTCTCTCCTTCCCTCCCCCCCCCCCCCCCCCCCCCCCCCCCCCACCCACTCCCAAGTGTTGCAACTCTTATTACAGCTGTCTAGCATCTAATTTTCATTGAGTTTGTGAAGCTCTTGTTCCTAGTTTGGCACTGCACCTCGTACATGTCACGAGCTGTTCCACATTAGGTAGTACCTTTGTACATACAATCAGACCATAACAATGCATTTGCTTTCTCGTTGTTAAGAACATCAGTGTTTTGCTATCAGCTACTACCAGCTTACAACCATTTACACAGCTTCCATCATCTCTCTCCAGGTCAACCATGTCTCTTTAATTATGCAGCTAATAGATATTTGAAATCAACAAATATGAATATTTTTAAAAGTGTAACGCTTTTCAAAATTTCGTATTTTGAAAGCGAAGCAGTCTGTAATGTAGGAATGGGCAGCGACGAACCGCGCTAAACGCCCGTTTTGGAGTACAAAACGTGGGCTGGAGGTCATTTCCCTCCACCCACGTCTCTCATTTTCAAACGGTTTAGCCGATTTTCGTCTCCCACACTCAAGCTGGCGAGGACCAAGTCTCTTCCTCGCTTTCAATCCCCGTCGACTTTACTCTCTGACATTTTCGCGCACAACGCAACAACTATGGCACTTAACGGCGGGGAGTCTAATACCGCTACGGCCCCCACTCGACCCGAGTCCGCAAGAAACGCACGCGAAATCGCGGGCGATCGCCCAAACAAGCGCCGGGCAGAAGACGGGGAAAATTCCCCGACTGGCGTCGACGTCCTGCTGGGCGCGACCGAGGCACACGCTGCTGGTGTCGAGGCACACGCCCCTGGTGTGCCTCGAGCCCCTGTGGCCCCTGACGCG